ATGAGACCTTAACTTTACCAAACGAACGTTTTCCCATTATGATTTCATATACTCGTTTGTTTACTTATAACGTTGTTAAAAAATTTGTTTCAGATCGTTGCCAGCTCAGATTAGCAAGCCATTTGATCCAGTACACCTGCCACCTCATTGCAGTTGGTGAGTAAGCTTGCAGGGCGCGATTGCATGTATGCAAGGCAAGATCTATCTCATTCCCTCCCATCTCCGTTTAATATCTTCCATATGATATCCTTCCCAGGGAAATATCCAAAGATAGACTGAAGGACATATCGCTTTGTGCGCAGGAGGATAAAAAAACGCTTCCTTTGCAAGCCTTAAAAAGTATTACCTATACTCCAGACGCCTCAAACATTGGTGCCAGCGCAAAAAGTAACACTGGTTCTCCTGGTAACTTGGATATCGATAAAGAGGATGGAGCGTCAGGTGTTAGTGCGCCTACTCAAAGAGTACAAAACAATGGTCCTAGTTTTTGTTCTGCTCCTCCAATACCACCAAGACATGATCTTGATCGATTAAGAACATTATCCCTTCCAAGGAGCCGCCCAATTCCGACGCCAAGGAAAAGGATGACTTCCTGTTCAGAATTTATGCCAGGAACTCAAAACACCTGGCAGAGCCATGGAGGGGAAGGACCAAGATCGGCGCCGCTAGTCAACTTAGATAATAGTGATTTTCAGTTTGGAAAAAATAATGAAATTACTGTAAAATATTCTTCGTCGGAGAATACTGAAACGGCTCCCAAAATGAATGAAGAGCAGCGTACTGATCAACTGAAGGATGTGTTTAGTGGTCAGGATCCAGCCCTTATTGACTTCTCAACCGAACTACAGGCAACCGGTACTCTTAAACATGGTGATAGAGCAAATAGAGAAGAAAACYGTAGTTACATCACAGGAAAGGGTCATTCCTCGAACGAAGAGAGCGTAGTTCCAGAAATAAATCCAGATCATACTGACAGACTTCAAAAAGAGGATTGTAAGCCAAATAATAAAGATCGCCCGCTAATCTATTTGTCTACATCCGCAATGCCTTTAAATKCTGATGGACAGGGTGGTAGGACACAAAAGAATGAAACCTTTCCGCTTATTGACTTGAGTGAAGAACATTTAGCAATCACCACAAATGCCATGGAAGTACCGTCACCACGTCCGTGCACAGCTCCACAGAGTACTACCGTGAGAAATGAACATAACTCCGTCAAAAATATTCTTGAAGGAATTTTGCCTAAAAAMWGGCMTCAGGATTCWAATCATAACACTRATCCGTTTTCAGCCAACCAGCGGCCATTGCAAGGATTTCAAGGTCTGGGACAGGCAGTTTGCAATACGCCAGCTCAAGCCCCATCCAAGGGTAGTGATTCTCATGAGCAAGAAGAGCGCGAAAACATATATCAAGTTCCCTTYCATACCCCTATCCCATCTSGAATGCCACMTGTGGACCCAGAAAGGCKCCGTCAGCCACCACCAAGTCCTGCTTATGGAAGAGAAACAGATGCGTTAATTGYCCGACTCCAGGARGAATTCAACGATTTATCAAGAGACGAATGCTATGCACGATTATTGCATTATAATCAYGACATTGAACTGATAATAAAAATACTAAAAGTTAAAGACCTTGCAAACGTCGATGAGGACTGTGCACGATTTCATCTCGGGCATTGTCGCTGGGATGTAGAGCGGGCTGTGAATTATATTCTTTCAAAAACGGAGTAATCTATGACAGGAACTGGTGTCTTATTCTTTTCTAAACACCATATCGACGATGCATCCTTGCCTAATGAACTTAATCGACCCATTAACGTTGCTCAGTTGTAAAGAAATAAAGACAACARCAAAGTAATTTACATAGAAATGTTTTTAATATTCCCGGAATGATTTTAATATACATATTCTCTAGCTAAATAGCGAATTAAATGTTATTGACATTGTAATGATTTGTTTTGCAACAGTACGTTGCAAACAATTTAAGTAATGCCCCGAGTAAGAACTAGGGAAGCAAACGGCACAGGAATGCAAGAAGGTGCTAATTGYGCATTGTATAATCCATCCATCCCATTGGGGAGAAAACCAAGACATTCGTACATGGGGAACTTGCTATGCCGCAAACAATAGTCTAGAGAGTTCCCTAGTTCTTTAGCGCATTGTTACTTAAGAATACGATATATGCAAATGACTTTGTCGCTGTCTCTATAATCTTAAACAACGTTTAGTGGATTGACTCTTCATGGAATTAATAAATGAGAAAAATTGTGGTAGACGGTTTGAACGTATTACACCTAAATATGGTATATCGACTTGAGCAATTATTAAAATAACAAAAAAAGAATTTTTTGATATATGTGTAGCAAATACAGCTGTTTGCAATAATTCTGACCCCCCTACACTAATATTCATATATATCAAAATAGCCTTAGAAATTATGGGATACCATTGCTGATATTTTTTTTAGAAAGTACTCATTCTGGACAACTCAAAAAATATATCAGTCATGATATCCCATAATATT